TTCTAAAATACTCCCCATGTCGTCCCGAGTACGACGGTATACTCAAATTTGAAGTTGGTGACCGTTTGGCTATTGAACGGGTATTGTGCCTATTATGCGATATCCAATTTCGATAGGTTTGGACCATTCGATCGGTTTCATTTTTAAATATGTCATTCCTCGTACCTCTAAGATTGTGTAAGAACTTGTTGATCGAGAATTGGAGTCCTGAATACTCTGAATTAATGATTTTAGGGTTAGGCGAACTGATCGTCGTGCGATCGAGATTAATCCGACTGTTCGATCAAGACCAAACTCTCGGGACTTGTTTAGTAGACTTTGTTGGACCTAATGGAACTTTCGTATTGTGAATCGAAGGTCGCAGACCCCCCGGGCCCAATTGACCGTTGTGGAAAGTTTGACCGCTTGGTTGACCACAAGTCTCCCGAGATCGTTTCATACTTCGGAAAGTACTAGAATGACCCTAGGAACTTTCTAATAGTCGTACACACACTTTGAATTCCGGGAAGTTAGATTAAGTTCGGTTCGGTTCGAATGTGAATAGGAATTTTTGTAGAAATGTCACATGAACTTATACATTAGTTTCAATTTGTCACCTTAAAGAAAAATTTAGGCGAAATGTCACCTAAAGTTTTCAAAATCCATGATTTGTCACTTGACTTTAACGCCATCCAATTTTCCATCCATTTTAAAGGGTATTTTAGTCTTTCCAATATGTAAACCTCTGTGAAGCTCTTTTAAAAAATAAAAAATAAATAAAAACATAAGTCAAGAACAATACTTTTACGCCTAAACAACAGTTGGACTTTAGGGTTTCAAATTTTTTTAAAGGCATATCTACGAGTTGTTAGCGACATTGGGATTGATGGCGACTCTACGCTACAGAATCACTGGGAACTCTCCGAACTACGGTAAAGCTTTGCTTTCTACTTGGGAATCTTTGAAGGTTTTGCTTTTTATATGACAATGGGAGATTTGATTCATGGGATCCTTTTTTCTTTCTTTATGTTCTTTGGCTTTATTTATATGCTATTGCTTTGTTTTTGTGCTTTAACGTGTATTGTCCTTTTGGAAGTCAATTACTTTGTTGTGTGGGGATGTATCGGCTGCAACTGTTATATTTTATATAAATGTTAATTTGAGTGTTTGTGTAGGTGATTGTGATTTATTTACCATGGAAATTCACCATGGGGGTCACTTTATAGAGCAATGTGATGGGAACTTGAAATATGTTGCTAGGCATGTGGCTTGGTATGATAATTTAAATCAAGATTTTATGTCAGAATGGGATCTTGAGGATTGTGTTGAGAGTTTAGGGTACAGCATGACGTGAAAATATTATTATAGATTGCCAAATGGAGGGGAATGTAGGAAATTGAAGAATGACTCTGATTTTTGGGCTTTAGTTACTATATTGCCCCCAAATAGAGTGGCAATTGTGTACATAGTTGATGACAACTCTGTCCCAAATATTGAGAGTCAAGTTGCAATCAATACTTGTGTGGAGTCAAGCCCTAATCAAGAAGAACCAAAAGGTCCACATCCTAGGCAATTACTTTGTGCTATTGGGATAGATGCCAATAATGGCATGTATCCAATAGCATATGCCATTGTTGAAATAAAAAATAGGTGCACGTGGACTTGGTTCCTAGTGATACTCATCAATGATTTGAGGATTGATAATGGGTTTTCTTGGGTCTTTATGTCAGACAAGCAGAAAGGTCTATTGAGATCTGTTGAAGACCTTGTTCCTAGTGTTGAACATAGGCATTGTGTTTGACACTTGTATAATAATTTCAAGAAAGGTCACAATGGAATGGCACTTAAGCAAATACTTTGGGAAGCAGCAAGGGCAACCACCATTCCTGGGTTTAAAGCACATATGACTAGGATGGAAATTGAAGATGGAAGCGCAGTAGGATGGTTTGATGACAAGCCTGCAAAGCATTGGAGTAGATCCCATTTTAGGACTACATCAAAATGTGATATCTTGTTGAATAATTTATGTGAGTCTTTTAACAGTGTAATATTAGGTGCAAGAGATAAACCAATATTGACTATGATGGAGAGGATTAGGACATATCTGATGGTGAGAATGGCAAGAATGAGAGAGACTGCAGATAAGTGGACTTGTGATGTTAGCCCTAGAGTGTTTAAAATTGTTGAGAAAAACAAATTAGAAAGTGGTTCTTGCATTCCTTGTCTTGCTGGTGAGAATAAGTAGGAAAATGCTAGGGAGACCAACTTGGGATACCAACTTGTGTACCAACTCTCTAATAGAGCGTGGGACCCATTGTATTGGTGGGCTCCACCTCTATTAGAGAGTTGGTACACAAGTTGGTATCCCAAGTTGGTCTCCCTAGCATTTTCCTACTTATTCTCACCAGCAAGACAAGGAATGCAAGAACCACTTTCTAATTTGTTTTTCTCAACAATTTTAAACACTCTAGGGCTAACATCACAAGTCCACTTATCTGCAGTCTCTCTCATTCTTGCCATTCTCACCATCAGATATGTCCTAATCCTCTCCATCATAGTCAATATTGGTTTATCTCTTGCACCTAATATTACACTGTTAAAAGACTCACATAAATTATTCAACAAGATATCACATTTTGATGTAGTCCTAAAATGGGATCTACTCCAATGCTTTGCAGGCTTGTCATCAAACCATCCTACTGCGCTTCCATCTTCAATTTCCATCCTAGTCATATGTGCTTTAAACCCAGGAATGGTGGTTGCCCTTGCTGCTTCCCAAAGTATTTGCTTAAGTGCCATTCCATTGTGACCTTTCTTGAAATTATTATACAAGTGTCAAACACAATGCCTATGTTCAACACTAGGAACAAGGTCTTCAACAGATCTCAATAGACCTTTCTGCTTGTCTGACATAAAGACCCAAGAAAACCCATTATCAATCCTCAAATCATTGATGAGTATCACTAGGAACCAAGTCCACGTGCACCTATTTTTTATTTCAACAATGGCATATGCTATTGGATACATGCCATTATTGGCATCTATCCCAATTGCACAAAGTAATTGCCCAGGATGTGGACCTTTAATGTGGCATCCATCCAACCCCACAACTGGCCTACAACCCTGTATGAAGCCCTTCTTAAGAGCTGCAAAACACACATACATTCTGTGAAAAATAGGTTTTCCACCTTCCATCTCTGTCTTGACAACAACTGTACTATTAGGGTTTGTTCTCTTTAACTCCTCACAATAATCCCATAACCTTCTATATTGCTCCTCATAAGTCCCATCAGTCTTAGCAGCCACCAAACCTTTTGCTCTATATATTTGGTTCTTTGTGATATTTAGATTGTATTGTTTACACACAACTTCTTGGAATTTTGGCACTTCCCATTTAGGATTATCAATCAACTCTTCAGTGTACCTATGTGACAGCCAAGTAGATGTGCATAGTTTTATTTTTTTTGCCCTCGCGCATGTGTGCAAATCAGTAAGTGTCTTTACCATAAGAGTAGAACTCTCATCCACCTTAGATGCATAAATGACCCAAGGACATGGCTTCTTGCACTTCGCTTGAACTTTGAAACTCTCTCTTAGTGTGAATCTAATATCTTTTCTATTAACACAAGCATAATATCTTACTGCCTGTTTAAACTCATTCCTATTAGCAAACATCATGCCTAACCTAAATTGTGGATTCTTCATATCCATATCACTCCTAAAATGAGTGAAGTTAGGCAACTTCCTCTTTCGTGTACCACCATTTTCTTCACCCTCAAAATCTTCTTCACCACCACTCTTAAATTCATCTGAATTTTCAGACTCTGTTTCAACATCCCCAAACTCCAAATTTGGGAAGGCTGCAGTGCTACCTGAGACATTGACATTGCCTCCTTCATTGGCACATTTCTCTACAATGTCATCAAAAAGATTATCATCCTCAGCATCACTTTGCTCATAGTCAGAATCTTCATATTCAGAATCCTCATCTTCTACACCTACATCAACTAGGTTCTCAACATCCACACCTTCACCAACTTTTGGTTCTTCTTGACTGAGGCTTGATTCCACACAATTATTGATTGCAACTTGACTCTCAATATTTGGGACAAAGTTGTTATCAACTATGTACACAATTGCCACTCTATTTGGGGGCAATATAGTAACTAAAGCCCAAAAATCAGAGTCATTCTTCAATTTCCTACATTCCCCTCCATTTGGCAATCTATAATAATATTTTCACGTCATGCTGTACCCTAAACTCTCAACACAATCCTCAAGATCCCATTCTGACATAAAATCTTGATTTAAATTATCATACCAAGCCACATGCCCATCAACGTACTTCAAGTTCCCATCACATTGCTCTATAAAGTGACCCCCATGGTGAATTTCCATGGTAAATAAATCACAATCACCTACACAAACACTCAAATTAACATTTATATAAAATATAATTGTTGCAGCCGACACATTCCCACACAACAAAGTAATTGACTTGCAAAAGGACAATACACGTTAACCCAAAGCACAAAAACAAAGCAATAGCATATAAATAAAGCCAAAGAACATAAAGAAAGAAAAAAGGATCCCATGAATCAAATCTCCCATTGTCATATAAAAAGCAAAAACTTCAGAGATTCCCAAGTAGAAAGCAAAGCTTTACCGTAGTTCGGAGAGTTCCCAGTGATTCTGTAGCGTAGAGTCGCCATCAATCCCAATGTCGCTAACAACTCGTAGATATGCCTTTAAAAAAATTTGAAACCCTAAAGTCCAACTGTTGTTTAGGCGTAAAAGTATTGTTCTTGACTTATGTTTTTATTTATTTTTTATTTTTTAAAAGAGCTTCACAGAGGTTTACATATTGGAAAGACTAAAATACCCTTTAAAATTGATGGAAAATTGGATGATGTTAAAGTTAGGTGACAAATCATGGATTATGAAAACTTTAGGTGACATTTTGCCTAATTTTTTTCAATTTGAGGCTTGTCTCAGTCAAAATTACTAAACTTAGGTTCATTTTAATTTGGATCAACTACATAGAAGCCCCCACACTTTGGTAACATTTTTATTAGTTAGATAAACAATGGTAACATTTTTACGGATGCTGAGTTATGATTCTCCTCTGAAAAGACGTGCTAACAAGAGGCTGTTGACCATGGAAGAGTAGTTTTACACAATACCTTGTTGAAGTTCATTAGCTTTGTTCTTGAACTGTTAGTATAATAGAAATTACTGGACACATAAAGTTGTGAAGTTTCCTTGACTGGATTCTGTACTTTTGCGGTTTGTAATTGTCTCTTTATCCGGCTGGGGTCTACTCATCTTTGGGGTTTACAAGTTCTTCACTGGAGGCAAAGGCAAGAAGGAAGAGGTACTTGAGATTTCTTTAACCCATAAGTATTAGGATATGTTATGGTTGATTGTGGACTTAGGCATCAGATATGCAAAGCAACATTGCTGTGTTTTTTTTTTAATAAGCACTGTTTTCGATGCAGAAGGATGCGTGTCATAATTTTGTGTTATCAATCAGATATGCCTTTATCCCTGTCCCAATCTAGTGAGATGTAGTTTTACCTTGTTTCCAGCATATAGGTTTTGTTAAATCTGTGCATGCTTAAAAATAAGTAGGATGCCAAAAACATAACTAGAGAACTCACGTTGCGTCTCTCACTTTATACACTCACAAATAATGGTTGTTCTCCTTTTGTCCCGTCGTCACATTCGCTGCTTTATATTGTATGCTTTTGGTTTTATGATATAGATGGCTTGGTATTCTATAGTTAGTGGTTCACCTCTAAGAAAATTTGCAAGATGACACTCTTGTTTGCAATATTCAAGTTGTTCATGTATTGAAATTTGATCACAGGGTTTTTGTTTTGCTAATTGCTACTAATGTCTCACATAGAGCTAGCTATGGATCAGGTTAGGTGAATTTAGGCTGGGTCAGGGTCTTGTAGAGTACTTCTGTGTAACTCTAGGATCAGGGAGAAAAAAAAAAACTAACTAATTTTGATTGAATCAGGTAAACATAGCTGGGAGTGTCGTTTAACATTCCAGCATGGAGTCACTGATGTAAACTAGTGTGTTGTTTTGTGATGTGGTTTTAGCTTTTGCTGACTAATTCTTGCTTTGGTTCAGAAACTGCGGAAGCATCGCACTGAGGTTTGGAGTTTTAGATATTCCCAGAACTTGTTTGAAATAACGAGTTTGCTTGGGTATAATGTCCTCAAATTTCATTTTCTTTGTCAGCAACTGATTTTTGATCAGTCTATGGAGATTGATACATTGAAAAAAATATCGTGGTTAATGGCTTTGTTGGGAGTTTATGCCCTGTCCAATTATGTCTTTTTTGTAGTTACTTTTGTGATTTGATGCATTAACCTTTCATGTGTCAATAAAATAATGACATTCTCTTCCTAGCTCTAATCCTTTTGATGGCTTTCAAGGGCAGTTAGTTATGCTCTTGAGAAGTAACCCAATCAGACCCTTATCTTGTTGTTGGATTCAATAGAAATATATTAGCAAATAAATAGTCCTTTTCAGTAAATTAAAAAAGCCACTCAAACACAAGAACAGTGTGTACTCCAATTTCATAATATCTGCCTTTTTTTCTTTAAAGCAAGTCTGCAACTCGTATTGACGCGATTCTTCAATTTCTGGGGAATTTTTTATATAGTAAACTCTTCAATAGCGCAAAGTTGTATTTTCTAGTATGCAGTTTTGTTTTCTGGGGAATTCTTAAACCAAATGAATCACTAGTTCTCTTGGCTATTCAGGGATGGTAATTGCTAAAATATGGGTTTGTGAATGGTGGTGGTGAGTGGCAGCTGTGCAGCTGGATCAAAATATTCGGTTTTGATTTTAAATGGGTCGAGCTTGAAGGTAGGCCTACCCCATTTGTAGCCACAAGGCTTGGAGCCCAACTCACAAAATACAGGCTTCAAACTTTTTTTTTTCTTGGGAAAAATTTCAACCATTAAACAGGGGTGTTCTGATAATGACAACAGTCCCAAACAAATCTATGTTAAATGAAATTATGTAGAACTTGTACTCAAAAATTGTAGGAAGGTGTTATCAAATGAAATAGCCAAGAGATATAATATAGAATCAGCTCATGATTTCTAAAGTAGTTAGTAAGGTATGTATAAAAAAGTAAAGAGCAGTATGGTATATATCAGAAAGTAAAGAACAGTAAGGACCACACTGATTGTAAAATAATGCTTTGTGTTTTTATCACAAAACATCTTTGAGGTTAACAAAATTATCATGTTTTGAGTCTATTTTGTTTTTTTTTTGCCACAAACGATACTCAAGGTTAACAATTGTGTTCATAACTAATCTCAGTTGTCGACTTCCATCCAGCTTCCTTCAAAAAATCTGTTAAATTGTTGACATGACACACATGTGAAACTTACATATCTAATGATATCATGCATATATGGATTGGTTGGAAACAAAACATTCTTGAGGTTAACAAAATTATCAGGTTTTGAGTCCATTTTGTTTTTGTGTGTCACTAACGATCCTCAAATTAACATTATTTGTGTTCATAACTAATCTCTGTTGTCCGCTTCCATCCAGCTTCCTTTCAAAAATCTGTTAAATTGTTGACATGACAAACATTATTTGTGTTCATAACTAATCTCTGTTGTCCGCTTCCATCCAACTTCCTTCTAAAAATCTGTTAAATTGTTGACATGACAAACATGTGGAACTTACATATCTAATGATATCGCGCATATATGGATTGGTTGGAAACAACAACCAGAGCGGACCCTTTTTTATTTTTTTATTTTTTTTATATCAGTTTTGTCGGTCAATCGGTTTTTCTATTTTAAAATCACAGCACTAGTAATAACTTCCAGATATAAAGGGAAACTGTTCCAAAACTGGTTGCAAAGGTTTTATGCACGCATAAATTACACACTTTATTTCATATTCAACAGGGAAAAAAAATAGTGGACAACTTTTCTGGGTAAGTAACAGGAAACAAGAGAGACAAGTAAAAAGGAGATATAGACATGAGCCCATCATCCAAGATTCATGTGAGTTCAGCACAAGGAAGCAGCTAGCTACCCTTTTGACCTCAAGGCATGAAATATATTCAGCTAAAAAACAGGGGATGAAATGGTCAAGAACCAATATCATTGACAATCCCATTGAGCTTTCGTTCCAAGACTTCAGAACAGATTTGCCCCATCATATGGTAGAAAGCCAACAGATCAGACAATTGCTCAACTGACATTTTCCCCATCACATTCCTTGCCAACCTTTCTCTCTCCTCATTCAACTTCAATCTCTCTATGTAGGACCCTGCATTTCTCACTGTTGCACCCATTTGCTTTAGCCTGTTCTCCTGCTGTAAGCTCAATGCT